TACGAAATAGTTCATTTATTTCACTCTGTATAGTATGATGATCATTTCTGAGTTTCATCATTTCATCTTTTACAAGAAAAGGTCCTTGGCAATGCCTGCCACCTCAACGTGGTGCCAAGGTCCAGTACTTTGTATTATCAAGGGAAGCCAAGAGCCAGCGACGTTTTTCTTTTTGAAGACTTGTTAGCGCTTAGACTACGGCGTTGTAAAGCACCGGGAACAGCCGCGTCGTGCTGGGGCAGAATTTTATCCAAGAAGGTCCTGGGGCACGTGTCGACGTGCTATCAGCAGTATCACCCGCACCAGGTTGCAGCTGAGTCGTGGTGATGTAGAGGAAACTCCCGGCCCTTCACTGCGAGGTATGCAGTGGAACTCAGCTGGACTTACCCAGGCCAAGAGGCTTGCTCTCCACAAAACCCTTCTTGAGGAGAATGTGACATTCTGCCTTCTAAGCAAGAAGGAACTATCTTGTGCGGAAGTGTCGAGTTTCACAATCGCTGGTTACCAACATCATGGAGTGTCCCGCCCCTCTAAAGGAGGCGGTGTTTCGATTCTTGTGCGTGAAGATCTGCCAGTAGAAGTAGGACTCACCGTAGTTGCAAGCATTGAGCATGCTCATGTAACGATCCACATGGCAGAAGGTCTGGCGCTCACAGTGGCGTCAGCATATTCTTCCCTCTGGGGAGAGATCAGACACAACTTCGCAACTTGACACGCTTTTGACGACCAGCGGACCTCACCTCATTTGTGCAGATGCTAATGCGCATGCAATGACATGGGATCGCGCGATCCCCCCTGATACCCGTGGCGATGTGCTAGTACAATGGTGCCTAGATAATGATAACGTTATTTACAACGCTGGAGAGTGCACTCGCCACACCAAACGCCATGGCTCGTCCGCGCCAGATGTGACAATATCCCGAGAATACTGTCTAGAGTCCTGGACGGCATCCTTCTCCCCGGACAGCGACCATTACATCATCATCCTCTTCGACGTAGTGGTAGGAGATGATGACGAACCACTGCGGTTCCCTCGCCCTCGTGCACCCATTTATGCATGGAAGAAGGCGAAATGGTCTCGGTTTAGAGAAATGTCAAACGCACAGTGCAGTAAACGCCTTAAAAAGAAAATGAGCGTTCACAAGAGAGAACGACTACTGACCTCCGCCATCCGTATCGCAACAGCTGCGGCGGTTCCACGCGGTGGTAGAGATACTGCACCTTATTGGACTCCAGAATTAGATGAAATCGAAGAGAAGATTCACAATTGTAAACCTTCTGTCTCCAGAGACAGACTGTTAGCTCGCAGAAGAGAAATGCTACGACAAGCATCCCATAAGAAATGGAAAACACTCTGTAATAACATGGACGTGGCAGACGGCTGCTGTTGGAACATTTTGAAGAGGATTTACACCCCACACCCCCTCAGTACCCCGGCGATTAAACTTAACAACACGGTACTCACGGAAAAACAGAAAGCCAAGCACTTTATCCGTTTATATTCACGGAGAGCTAAACGGCACCCATATTCCCACCCTCCACCACCCATTCCAGTTACCGATACAGAATTCATCCCCATTACAGCAGCAGAATAGGAACGGGCACAGCGTCTCCTTCCTAAAGGGACGGCCGCAGGTCCAGATGGTATCTACGGTGAGGCACTCCAACACTTGGGACCTGGTGCCAAAGCAGAGACTCTTGCCCTCTTCAACGAGAGTCTCCGTACGGGCGTAGTCCCAGTCTCTTGGAAAGTAGGCATCATTGTACCACTTCTTAAACCCAGAAAGAAGGCCACCGACTTGCATTCATTCAGACCAGTTACTCTCACTAGTTGTCTGTCCAAATTAATGGAACGGATCATCGCAGCCCGAATTAGAGATGTCATTGAAACCAAAGTGATCCCGCAACAATCTGGATTTAGACCTGTTCACCCTACATTGGATCAACTATTACACCTACGCGCAGCCCTCACGAGACCCACCCCTGATTCGCGTACAGGTGCAGTATTTGTAGACTATGCCAAATGAATATTTAAGGGAGAGGATACACCCCATCTCTCCCATAGATTAAAAATCACGGGATCCTGGGACCCCACCAAAGACAACCCGGAACTCACTAGAGAGGAAGAAACAGCCTTAGCACGTTTTCGCACAGGTGCTTCGCATCGCTATGGCTGGTTGCTGCGAAAGATACAAACCCATATCCCTCCTGGTTGTCGCTGGTGTAATCCCCAAAAAGTCAGTTCGTCGACACCCGTTATTCCACCTAGCCAGAAAAGACCGCGCTATGCACTAAACAAAGCAACGGAACCTGCCACCTGCACTGAATGTGGAGCACAATAATCATGCAGGAGCACCGCAGTAGTACATATGGTCAACAAACACATGGGTTCAAGAGAGCCGACGCGCTCTGGAAGATCAAATTCCCCCATGAGCCACCTCCGCCGGACATCCCGCCAGAACCTCCGCCACCCCCACAACCCCCACCTACGGACACAACGTTACCCCACCCCACTTCGCCTAAAGCAAAACCTCATCCGTTTGCCTGCAGTATATGCAAACGAACATTTCCGCTTCAAAATGGATTAACGCGCCACCTTAGATACATAGACAATGTCGCATGCCCTGTCCCAGAGAGAAAACGCCCGCGAGCCGAGGAACCGATTACAGAAGAGTCAGCATTTCCCTGTGACAAATGTGATATGATAGCGCGCTCTAAAACAGGTCTCAAAGCCCATATTAGAGCAAAACATCCTGAGAACCCCACAAAGGACGCACCTCGCCCTCAGATCATTCCGCAACCTGCTTCACTACGATGCGAATTTTGTCTACGCGACTTTGGCAACATTGGTGGTCTCGCATGCCGCAAAAAGTTTAAACATCCTCCTGGAACCCCAATTCTGCCAGCAACAATACAAGTAACGTTTCCGCGCAATAAGAAACGCCAGCGAGATACGTCGCCGCCGGAGCGTGAGAGGACAGAGAGAGAAAGTCCAATGTGGAGTATGCCAGAAGTTCTACGCCCACCTAGACTCCCTCGTAATCCACTGCTGAAAATTCAATGATGGAGAGGGTCTGCCCCAAAAAATCGAATTCCACCAATGGGCAATACAAAACAAGAAAAACAAGAGACCTTCCGGCATTGGTCTGCCCCTCATGCGGTCGTCAATGTGTATGAGTAAATCAGGCCTAACTCTACACCGAATGTCACCTCACGGGTATCATCCTATTCGCGCGCACATCAGCCAACGTAACGAATGCGACGAAACAGCTCTGCACCTCTTGAGTTGCCCCGCTCTTCATCCACTGCGAGTTCAATTTGCGATAGTTGATGATATACCCCTGATGAAACTATGTTTTTCTAAGCGGTTAGCACAGTTCCTTATTACGGTGGAGCGGAACTACACTATGCCACAGACTTCACACCCAAGAGAAACCCTACGCAGCCCGCCTCATCCTCCCACCCCCTAAGGCCTCCCCACCTCTCTAAAATCAGCGACGAGCTCGAGCATGGAAACCCTGATAGAAGAGTACGCTCAAGACGCATGCCGCCGACCAAAGAAGCAACAAAATAAATAGGAGTTCATTGACGCCAATCTATTACAAAAAATAACCAAAAATGATAACATAAAAGGAGATTTGAGGACGGGTTTTGGGTAAGAAAAGTGAGAGTAGAGAGATCTGGTTGGGTTTACTCGATCAGATTTCTCGTAGACTGGTTCTCTCGTTTGGGAACGGGCTACAACCAAAAAAAAATCATATTACAAGAGCTTGAGGATCCCATAAAATAAAGGGATCTTCTTCTTCGGAGTCACCCCTAAGTCGGTAATTAAGTTGCTCTACGGTGTACGGTTGATAGCCGTACCATTGGAGTAATATCCGTCAAGGCGCGAAGAAACAAAATAAAAAACAAATCCATGATGATACGGAGTCCCATGGGTAGAGGGGTGGAAAGGGGATATGTTTGATATTACCCTCCTAAATAAGATTATGGAGGGAAGGAGTGTGGGAGGACATTTAGAATAAGGGATGATCTGTGTCCGTAATCGCTGCAGCGGTAGCGGGAATGTCCCGTCGTTTTCGTGCTCGTGCAAGGAGTGTATTTTCATGAACGTTGTTTGTGACGTTGGAGATGCGAACAACATTGTATTGCGAGCAGTGCTAATGCAAACGAACTACGAGCAAACAATGCCACAGTTCTTGATTGTGTGGGTTCTGATACATGTGTTGTTGTTTATGTGTTGCGCTCATTTGTGTGTGTGTGCCAAAATAGCTGGTGGATTTCTCGTAGGCCTCTCTTTTTTCGTATTTATTGCTCTCTTATGTATGGTATTTGTTGGGCCCTGTTTGGAGGTGGTGTTTGGTGTCTTCGTCGGTGTCGTGTTCGTGGATTAACCGCGTATTTGGAGAGGGTGTTGTTTCTTCAAGTACTTTGTTTGAAAAGTGGAGGAACGGGTGTTACTCGTTATCGGCGTCTGTAAATGTTTCTAGTCGAACTTTGTGGGGTTTCGCAGTCGTTTGCCCCTGGATTGCCCTCGTGGCGGAGGTTCGTCATCTCTGTCGGTGTTTGGTGTTTTATTTCTGTCGTGGTTTAATGTGGGAGTTGAGCTAGTTCAGTCGCCAGAGAATTCTTTTGCGACCAGGTGTGTGGTCGGAGATTTGGTGTTTCCTTGGGGCAGAGGACATCTGTGTTTGGTGTGTGTTTCCGTCCTTTTGGTTTCCAGGGATTCTTGTTTTGGGTGTGGGTGATTTGTTTTGGCACGTTTAATTCACTTGTTGTTTTGGTTTCATGGCGTCCAGGTGAACTTTTCGCCGGGTTTTGTGCCCCAGGGGTCGCGTGTTCATTCCGAATGCTATTGATGATGTACATCTTTCTTTTCCTCTCGCGAGTGTGTTTTCACATCCCATGCAATGGTGGTTGTCCACGGTTTTCGGTATTGTGAAAGTGATGTGCGGTTTCGGGTGGTGCCGCACGTCTTTAGTCTGAGGTTGCTCACCTAATGGTTCCTGTGATCTCGTGGTGTTTGGAGGTTCTATTTCCGACTGCGTCACTCGCGTATTTTTGATATGCGCCACGGATCCAATACACACAAAGAGGAGTGGAAGACAGCCGTATGTAGTGAACATGTGCGCAAATAGGCACACATCATTTGTGGTGTACTCATGAGCTAATGGGGGATGGTGGTGATAACCGTCCGTGTAGTTCTTTGCAGTAAGGGGTGCCGATGTTGTGTGCGGCCGTGATGCAACTACAGGGAATTTGACATGTGGATGTTGTGATGGCTGATGGGACGCTGTGTTACATTTGACGTTCATGCGGGAGTGCTCCTTGAGTACTGTGCCATGAGATGGTGTCCTGTGTTTGCTGGTGTCTCCTCAGTGGTCTTATAACAGTTTTTTTGGGATGCCGACCATTCGGGCAATGAGGTTGCTCTATCGGTGAGAGATAGTCGGGGTCACGTTGTATATTATTGCCGAGTGGGATAACTGGGGATCTGTAGGTAAATTCCCATGGTGTTGTTTTTCTTTTTATTGTTTTTGTGGGTTTTTTTTTTTCCGTAATGGGGGGTGCTTTTTTGATATCCGTACGGAACCCGGAGTAGATTTGTATTTTTTTGTGAAGTGGTAAGATTGATTGCCTGCGTCGCGTTGCTTTGTTTTGTGTGAGTGGTTTGATTGACGTTGTTTTGTGTACTCTCTTTATATTTCCTTCTGCGTTGCTGTTGTTTCTCATTATGTTAAATGTGGGTCTACTTTTCTCCTTTCCCTCTTCTTCCTTGTTACCATGGATCCAAGTAACTCACAGTGATAATCATGGCAACGATGTTCATCCAGCTGCGCCGCGTGGTGTACTTGTTGGGACTTTTCCACTTCTGTGTGTGTGTGGCATATGCGACGGGTGAAAGCGGTGTTGCGCGGGATTCTTCAGCCAGTGAGTTAACTGAAGAAGAAGTGGTACGGGCGATACACGAGACGGTAGCCAAGGCATATGAGCGCATTGTGGATGCGGATGGTTGTATCTCTGTCTTAGAGGAGGAGGTCAGACTGTGCGAGGAAAAATCCAAGCGTGCTGAAGGTGCTGCGGAGGAAGTTAACTCTCTCCTTAAAAAGATCAAGGAAACACGTGATACGGAAGGTTGGGAGGAAACCGTTGCGGGGATGAAGGGAAAAAAGGATGAAATACTACAACACATATATGCTATTAACAACGGGACATTAGCAGTCGTAGACTTGGCACTTTTTGTGAAATCTTGTCAGATTGAACTCAGGACTTTAAATGATACGAGGTGGGAAGTTGTCAGGGCTCGAGAGAGTTTTTTGAAGGTACTTCAAAGCGGAACGGACAAAACGTCGGACAGAATGATACTCGAAAAGAACAGCAGTATAGCAAACCAAACGTTATTTAACCTCACTGGGCGAGCCGAAGCCGTAGTAAGTAGACTCGAACCATATGTGCACCAAAGTGAACCTAACGGTGACGCGAGTGAAGCAGTGGAGGAACTCAAGAAGTCTTTGGAGGGCGTTTTGGAGCTGGAAATTGTTTCAATGAACAGCAAGGGGGAAGGATATGATAATATAGCAAAGGGGAGATTGGACCACGTTGCCACAAAACTGAAGGAAGAAAAAGCAAAAGTATTACTGCGTTTGCTGCCGGAGGTGGCGGCTGAAGAAAAGAAAGAAGGAAAGGCTGGAGGAAATCCTACTGATGAAATAAAAGAGACAAAAGGGGTTGCGGAGATTGCGCAGACGGCAAACGGAGAGAAACAGAAAGAGGCGAAAGGAGACGCGGGGATGGAAAACACCGAAGAGGAGAAAAGGAAAGAGGATGGGGAAGAACAGATGGAAAGTGAAAGAGCCCTAAATGAAGCAGGAGCCAAACAAGAGCGGGGAGAAAGGATAAGGGAAAAGGCAAAAGAGGATATTAAAGCAGAAGCGGAGCAGACAATGAAAACGATACAAGGGTTTGACAGTAGCAACAGTCCTGCGTTAATGCACGGTCCCTTATTGTTGATTCTGTTGCTTGTGCTGGGTTACACTCTCGCTTGCTAATCGTTGTTCCCAAGACACAGTTGCGCAATTAACCTTTGTTTGAGTGGATATGGATACATTGCAAGGGCACTGTTCTTTTGGTTGAATATCAGATTTTTTTTTCAGATTGATAAATCTCTTGTTTGCATTTTTTCTAATGAACACATCTGTTGGACTCCATATGACACCCATCACATGGCAAACCGTAATTTTGTGAGGGGAGTGTCCTCTTTGTTTGTTTGTTGGCATTATTATCTGGGTTCTGTTTTGCCGACATTTACTGTGCTCGCCTAGTGATCTGTGTGTGTTCCGTGATATTACTAACTATTGCTTTTACCCATGGGAATGAGATACAATCCTGATGTGTTTTAATGGCTGTGACTGAAATGTGAAGAATGGCAGGAGGTTCAAGACACACAAACACACACACTACCAACCTTCCTTCTCCTTGTGTGTGTGTGTGGACTGTCATCATGTGTGCATTATTCCCACTGCTCGCCCTGTACGAAAAAAGACACACACACCTACTGCAGGGAATTGTGTTGCTTGCCTCCTGAACATATTCACATGGTGATCACAGCTTTCTTTTTTTGTTTTCATTATATTGTTTTTCCCTTGTGTGTGTGTTTCATTATAATTTCATTGCACATTATGTGCCGCTGTGTGTTTCTCTTTTGCGTTTCTAATACACCTTGTGTGTCTTGTGTGTTCATTTTTATGGAATGATTCTTTTTTTTTCATTATATACAAACTGCTGTACAGACATCAAGAATAAAGATATGGGCACGGCACGTTAAGTACACAATGATTTTCTGTTGTTCACCTTGGGGTGGATTGGACTGTGTCCAGGCATCGCAGCCACATTAAGTAATGAATTTCTTTTTTTTTTTCTTGTTACATCTTTGCTTTATTATTGTGTCTGCCTCATGCAGTCACTCTTTTCTTTTACATTTTTATTTTGGTATAAAGATTGGTGGGTTGTGGGTGTTTGAGTGTGCCCCTCTGTTGTGAGTTCCTATGTGTGTTTGGGTTGCTACTCACACCGCCCACCTAATGAAAACACATTTCTTTGTTCTCACCTTCTCTCTCGGCGTTGTCACTCGCGGTATTACCACGAACATATTTCTGCTCTTGTGTTGTGTGTTGTTGGGTTGTTTGAGTGACTGCAGCCTGCGGGGAGATGGACCGAGACTGTTCCGCTTCGACATCACGTAATGGGTCTGTTTTTTTTTATTTTTGGGATTGAGTTGATGTGCTGGTGTGGGTGAATGTTTCTCTGATGAGAGTGGCACCTGTGATTATTGTATTGTGAGTGCCTTGTGTGCTGTTGTTATCCTGTTGTTGTTGTTGTTCTTTTCATGAGCTGTTCTTTTCCTCTTTGTAGGTGTGTGGCTCCGTGTACATTTTAGGGAATGCCGCAGTGCCTCTCCGACATGAGCATGCGAGAGTGTCATTGTGTGTGTGTGCACTGTGAGTGGGAAGGACACCGTTGTGTTGCTGGACCACCCCGCTGTGGCCTTTGTGGGGTTTGTGTGTGAGCGGCATGCTTCGCTTCGGTGGGGCTCGAGGGGCACTTTACGTCCCGAGGCGCTGAACCTTGAGGCCTGAAATATCATGCTCAGGGACTTTGAACTTGAGAGAAAAAGAAGAGTGAGGATGAGGAAAAAAAAAAGATGAAACCCGGCAACCAGTCTACGTGCGCGATGCTCGAGGCTCGTTGTCGGGTTTTGCCCTTTTCTTTTTTTTTATCCCTCACCCGAAGAAGGGAGAGGAGAGAACACAACCCCCACAACCCAAGGCGGGCGGCCAACTTGTCAGCGTCTTGTGCGCAACAAGAAGAGGGGTGATGGGTGGCTCCCGGGGGTGTTTCACTTATAAAATGAGTGGGGTTGGGCATAGTGGAAAACTCTTTGCTTTCCCTACTTCAACGCTGAGTAAGATGGGTTTGAAAGGTATTCCGCAAAGATGACCCTTCCCCGTTCCCCTCATGACATGGTGTGTCCATCCAACCGCACCTTTTTACTCGGAGGCATGCGGCACCATGAACAAAGAACAAAGGGAAGGATTCACCACACCCCCATGATAAAGGCAAATTCCACTATGGTGGTGTGTTAAGGCGTTCCGCTACTGCCATGTGTGGTGCGAAAAGGAAATCCATGGGAAATGCAGAAAAGGAAAAATAAGTACAAAAAGAACATTTTCCCCCATAAGAACATTTTGCCTCATAGGTATTTTGGTTTGTTGGCACCCCACCACCTGCCCCACCACAACAATGGGTGAGGTATGTTTGGCTTCCCTGGGAGATGGAAGTGCGTGAGCTGTGCGCCGCGATTGGACAGCCCCCATTGCCAAAGGCGAGCCGTGATTCACTTCAGAGGTCCGTGGCACCCACCCCAAGATGTTGGCAAAAAAAAAACTTGAGGAGGGTACGGCACCCCGGGTTCCAGCGCCATCACTGATCGCCGTACTAACGAGGCCTGTGGCCGCTTAACTTCACAAATCGGACGGGATACGGTGCATTCGGCCAAGTATGGCCGTACCCGAAACACCCGCAAAAGAACATATTATGCTCCCGGGGGGGGTCTCCGGGGTGCCCTTCCCAGCCCCACCTCCAGGGGTGAATTTTCAGTTTTGCGAGTGCCGTGCGTTTCCCGCCTCCGTGCTCTACTGGGCCTCGTTACGGTGGTATTGGGGCACATTTTCGCACACAAGCTAACCCTTGTAGGTGTTTTTTTTTTTCTTTTTTAGGAACTTAATTCCAAAAGGAAAAACAAATGAGGTAGTTTGCGGCAGAGAGAAAGAAAGAAAGAAAGAAAGAAAGAAAGAAAAAGAAAAGATGCACGCACACAACTCGCCCATATCACCTCAGCGCAGTCACTCCCATTCACACTCCGCAGCAAAAAAAGGAACGCTGCAGAAGACCAAACCATATCAACGTTGACCACCGAGGGACAACGGCCACATTGTCATTTTTCCCACCAATTCCCAAAAATAAAAATTTCTTCCCTCCATTTTTCTCCATGTTAATTCAATAAAAACAGATATTAACTTTCTCCTTTAATT